CGCTTAGGAGACAGAATTCCTCTGTGGCCACCTGAACTTTCCAGCCACAGATGGACTTAGGGAAGGGGAGGGGCTTTTCGGCTTTTGTTGAAGTTCAGGATTTTTACTGTTCTGCCAAAGTTGGACATGTTTTTATTGTAGCTGGGAAAAATGGAGAGGGAGGGGTTGTCGTCATAAGTGATTGAGGACTTTTTCTTTTTTGAAAGTGAGTGGGTTGGGTTCAGGGTGTGCCTGGGGGCTTCCTCTGGGTGGGGAGCACATAGAAAGAGGAAGGGAAAGTCCTGGAGATTGAAATGTCTGAACGCACCCCACTATTACGTGTAAGTTTAATGTAGTAGTAAAAACATAAAAATTAAGTAAATGCACATTTACTTTAAAAAAGAGAAAGAAAAAAGACAAGGGCCCGTGGGAGGGGGGAGATAGTTCTGACTGGAACTGCATGTATTCATTCCACTCGCTCAAGTTCCAGGGAGGAGACGGGCGAAGGGAGCCCTGGGGCTCAGAGGAGACAAGAAACTCACATGGGAGAGAGAGAGATCCAGGAGCTCCGGGGGTGGACAAGATCAGCTGAGGACAGAAGCTGCCCACTCAATTTGTAGTATGGAAGGTGCTCGTGATTTTGCAGGAACAACTTGTGAGAACATGTATCTGATTAAAGGAGGCTAAGAGTGGGGTGAGAGTAGCAGAAACAGCACTTTTGATGCCACGTGAGGGGCTGTGGCCATGTTGTGGTCTGTTTGGTGGCTGTGCCATAGTTGAGCTAGCTGGGTTCTAGAGATAATTGCTGATTATTTCCTGACAGTCTGTTAGAAACTGTGTGTGAAGTCATTTGGCCTGAGCAAGTCTAGAGCAAACGTCCTTCCAAACCAAAGGGTTTGTGCACCTTCCATTTGTCAGGGATCTGACCATGGCAGGCTAAGGCCATGTCAAGTTCCTTACTCACCAATGCAGAGGGCCTTTGTCCCTACAAAGTATTACCACGTATTCATCTTTGGCTACGGAAATGCAGCTTCAGTAGGGAGGTTTTAATTTGGATTTCTGTTGTGCACAAAGCCGAGAACCTTTTCCTATTTTCAAAAGCCATTTGTACTTCGTTTCCTGTGAACACTCTGTCCTTACCCTTTGCTTAGTTTTCCACTGGGCTTTTGATATTTTCCTTATTGACTTGCATTAAAATAATTCTCTCTTTGACTGTGAAATGTTTCCATGGTTTTCTTTGGGCCTAAATTTTTATGCTATAATTCGTGTCAATATTTATGTTCTATGGGTTTTGTATCATCCTCCCATTCAAAGATAATTAAAAATAAATTCTTCCCAGTTTTCATTTAGTACTTTTAGGGTTTTTTTCACAAATGAATTCAATTTGCAATCCGTCTAGGATTTTTTTGCATTTAAGGCATGAGAGAGGAACTCAGCTTGGTTTTTTCCTTGGGTACCTGTCCACTCTCTTAGAAGCCACTGACTGGCTGACTTTCTACTGATGTGTATTATTATCACATAGATCACATAGATCACTCCCTTTATGTCTGTGTGTTTGTGAAATTGATTTCAATTTGCTGGAACATGTGTTTATTTGTTTTACTATTCTATTTTTTATTGTTTCAAAAAACTGTGTGTGTATGTGTGTGTGTGTGTGTGTGTGCCTGTAGGCGGCTCACATGTGTATCTGGGGATTGTGTGGCCAGTCATGAGATGGCAGATGAGCTGAGAGATAGTGTCACATGACTTCCAAGGTTTCAATTTTAAAATTCTGCATTTCAAAAAACAAACAACAAAACAACAAAAAACAAACTATGAGCTTTTGAAAGTCTGGCTCTAATGATGAGAATTTTAGTTTGAATGGGGGAAAATGGTAAAATCTTGGAACTGAGGGTTAGCATTGGTGGCAGGCTGGCTCTGGCTACTTTCAGATGACCACAGAGTTTGCCAAATGTTCCATTTTCGTATTAGCAGAGTTCTGAGGACAGGGTCTGGCTTACTGAAATGGTGTTGTACTGAACAGAATGTTAAGAAGCAAACTCTGTTATTAAAAACAGGGCAAAATTGGTACCTGAGATTCAAATGGGGATTAAATGAAATTACATGAAGCTAAATAATTATTGCTAAATGAACAAATTGAAACGGTGTTTCTTGCTAAGATGCACTGAGCTTAAACAGCAAGGAAATTGAGAACAGTTACATTTAAAATTAGACTTTGGAGTTGAAGTTACTAATTTCAGGCATCTAAATATTGCGATTTTTAATAGTTGTGTCACATTTCTATTTCAAACAGAAATAGATACCATCAGCCGGGTTGAAATGAGGATTCGCACACACATATTAGCACATGAGCATTAGAAATGAATTTATGCCAATTCTGAAGGCAGAACCTTTTTTCTGAAAAGCAGCTTGATTTGAAAACCTCTGGGGATTCTAAAGGCTCCCAAGGGGGATCCTTAGGACTTCTCTTGAGTGCATGAGCTCTGAGCAATTTCTGAAACTCCTTACATTTGCAAATTTTAAGGACAAAAGATTGAGTGTCTCCATGTGCCCTGAGACCCTTGTGTGCCTCTCTGTGAGACCACTGTTGGAGAGAACAGTTTATTTTCTGCAGGGCTTTGAAATCCCTTCTGAATGCTGATGTGTAGTTTCTCCAGCACATGAAGAATAGCAGCCTGTTGCAAAAGTCCTATGGCCCGAGCAGGCCAGGCCTTTGGTAGCGTGTATCCTGTTGCTAAGACTGATTTTTTTCCCACTCTCTTATGTTCCATGTCAGCAAATGAAAAAAGAGATCCAGTGATTATTGGGGATATTTAAGGAATGACTTAGGGGAGATATTCCGCATATAGCATTTTTTTTTCCTAGCTTGCTGGGACCATCAGAGATTTAGCAGCTGCACTGAGCTAAATATATCAATTCACTTAATAAGCATAGTGCAGGGGGTCACTGACCTGCTTTTTTTTTTTAAATAAAGAGATAAAATATAGATACTGAGGTTTTTATGATTCTATAAAAAGACAATGTGACCTTCTTCTAAAAGTAACAAGGAGTTTACCTTTAGACAGTATTTTGGGTGATACGTATTTGACCGTTTTGCTAGAACCAAAGTTGGGATATTATTTAAAAAATCGGAGGAAGCATAAAAGCATCAAAATCATTGGCTTCTTTCTTCACTTTTTCCAAGTCGTGATGATTCATATAGTTTTCTTGGCATCCGAACTTCTAGAAAAATATTTCCTTCCCCACTCTTTACAATGAATTGAATGGCAAATGGGAATCTTGTTGAGACAAGCTCTTGCCTAATTAGACAAGGACATATTTCTCCTAAGAGCCTTGCATTGCAATAGTGATTAATTGTCCTCCAGATGATAGATAAAAATGCAAGAAGCACTTAGTTTGCAAAGTTTGTGGGAGGTTGCTGAGGACCATTATCTTTTCTTTTTTTTTTCCATTCATCATTTCTCCAGATCTCTGTTTATTTGTTCTCTGCTATTGAAATATTTTCTCTTTGTTTTTTGTGGGAGTTGAGAAGTCCTCGGTGCATCTCCTTTTTGGGCTCCTGATTTTGAAGCCACCTTCACCCTGTCTCCCTGTCACTCCTCACCTTGGCTGAGTCACGGAGTTGAACTCTGTCTGCTTTCGGGTGTCCCCTTCACCATAGGCTTCCACTGCCTGCATGTGCACCTCAGCAACCTTTGTCTTAGCTTAACTCCATTCTTCCCTGCCTTCCTGCCCAAGTGTGGCCAGACCCGTCTGTGAGACCCCTGTCCTGTTGGTCCCCCTTCAGTGTCCCTCAACATTAAGGATACTCTTTGACTCCTTGAACCAGGATGGTGCTTGACACGCAGTAGCCGCTCAACCAATGCTCTTCCAAGGACCTACCCTGCACATAGCCTCATCTCTGACTCAATTACACACATCAGGAGCTCTTTTTCTTCTAAACTCTTGATTTTATGGTGCAGCTTCTTCTGGACTTATAAATCTGTCATAAGTTGAAAATTTTGTAAGTGGAAAATGCATCAGTTAGACTCATGGAAGATGCTAGCATAGCAACAGCACTCTGTGGAGTGGTGGTCTCTCACCCTCCAGCCAAGGGCAGACTGGGAGCCCAGGTTCACCGCCCCTGTCCAGCAACCCCAGAGAGGATCATATGGATGGGACTGGGTGACAGCACGTTAAGTGAAATAAGCCAGACACAGAAGGACAAATACCTTTTTCATCTGGGAAAGCTAAAAATATTCACCTGAATGTAGGATAGCGATGACTAGCATTTGGGAAGGGGGTTTAATAAATGGAGGCTGGATTTGATCAAAGCATGCTTTATACATGTGTGGAAATATCACACTGGACACCATTAATACACATATAATTAATGCATATTAATGAAAAGCAAAACAAAATATTTTGAAAGCCTAAAACTTAAAAAAAAATAGAATTCAAGATTCAAGCATGGTTTCTACTTACTCTGTATTGCTTTCACACCCTGGTAAAGTCGGAAAATTGTAAATTGAATCACTGTAAACCAGGACTGTCTGTATTTATAACTGCAGAAGCTGGGTATCAAACTCCAAGGAGCAAATTTATTTCAGTTACTTTCTAACTCACTTCAGTAGAATGTTGATCAATAGTGGTGGCTGATTGATTAATCAGGTTTGGCCCTAGTGCCCTGACCACAGCAATGAAGATAACCCTGGGAAAAGTACACTTGAGGGTGCTGATTTTAAAACACAGACTCTCAGCCAACTGGAAAAAAGAAAAAAAAAGTGTCATTGGTCATATAACACTGATAGCACCAACCATCATGATAAAAAGAGCCGGAGTGTGGCTAGTTAGAGCTCTAAGTTGACCTGTCTGTGTTTTGTTTAGTCTCACTTTTTACAGGAGCCGTGGAGGGCAGGTCTATTTTCTCTGTTGAGAGAAGCGGGCAGTTATTTTCTGTGGGCTTTTGAGTGGCGAGTTTCTGGGGTGTATAATGCTGATTGACACATGATTAAATGGATCTCTCTCCCTGTCCTCCTAAGGGAAGCCATCAGCCGTGTGTGCGAAGCTGTACCCGGTGCCAAAGGAGCCTTCAAGAAGAGAAAGGTACGCGTGTCTGTCTCCTCCATTCGGTCCTCTCTCACCTCTCAGGGTCTTCAACCACACAACTGCTCCTTGCCCTCTTCCCCTAGCCTTGCCCTTGTTGTTTTTACAAGCAAAGAGAGCTGAGATTGCTCCCTCACGTGGCTGGGGACAGTGAGCTGCCATAGCTGTCCAAAAGCAGAAACCTTGGTTACTCCCTGTGGCTCAAACCCTAAGACAGCAAGGGCAGCAAACACTTGGCCAGGCAGCGTTGAGAGGGGGAACAAGAAGCGCTGAATTTGCAGCATCTGCCAATTTCTGTGGTGTAAATACTTCCATGTGCTGAGCGCAAGCTTTTAACATGGCATCTCCAGAAATGGAGTCTGGAAAGAGACGTACAGCAACACATCACTACACAGTACTTGTACCACCAAGGTACAGTAGACATAACCTGAAAGGCAGAGTTCATATTTTATGCAACAAAACCATTAGGATATGGAGTGTTGGGCATTTATGGTCTGCTTTTGAGATGAGTTCTATTTAAGTGTGAGTCTGTATAAGTTCAATGTTTAAGAAATTTGTATATTAGCCAGCTCATATAAATGTCCAATTGGGTCTCCTTAGCTGATACTAGCTAGCTCCACAACACCACTGGAAATCCTCACGTCACAGATGATGAGATGCAGAGATGAGATGAGATGCAGAACATGAGCAGGTGGTGGAGTTAGGTGGAGCCCACACCACCTGCTCCAGAGCCTGAGTGTTCAACTTCAGCGCTAGAACTTTTTACCCTGAACATGATTTCATGAGAGGGAGAAAAATCCTAGTGAAGAGAAATCAGAGAAAACCCTCTTCAGTTAATTATCTAGTGACTTCATTAACTGGCACCCACAATCATGGTCTTTCTAGGACTCGACTGAATTGTGGGGAAAGCATACTTTAGAGAACCCCGATTCGGCTCTGGAGGCTGAGCCATTCCAGATCATTTGGGCAGTTTGTGAGCTTGGCTTTGCTATTCCCAGGGCACCAGGTTGTATCTGTCTTCAGAGATGGGGGACATTCATGCACCTCCAGGTCAACTGGAGAGAGAGAACAGGCAAAGAACGTGGGTGACATTAACAGGTGTGCCAGTTTAGGTCTGGTCAATCCCCTGCAGACATTGAGGACCAAGAGAGGCTCTGAATCTTGGATTCAGGGACGGGGAAGTGTCTGAGAACAGAGATAGGGAAATTCACTCCCAAAGATGGCTGGTACTAACAAGTCTTACCCTCATGGTCCTCTTGGTGGGAGGAGGAAGAAACAGTGCCCATTTCTGGGCTTCACCTCAGGTGCACTTGACCCAGATCTCACAGGTGGGGCCTGGGCATCTCTATTTTTAAATAACTTTTTCAGGAGTGTTGACTTGAAAAAAAAGACAAATCAGCACAGAGATCAAAAGAAATAGCATTTATCTTGGAAGCAAAGTGCTGCGATTTGGGCATACTGAATCAGGGTAGCCACAAAGAGTGTCCCCTAAGGCAAGCATGGAAGAGGGTGTTTTTTTTTTTTCCCCTTTTAGTAGGAAATTTCCATAAAAAGTTATTTTTGGAGACAGTTCATTGGCTGGATAGAAATCCTAAACTGTAAGCCTATTCTGATTGGCTAATTAAATAGGGTATGTCTGGCTGAGAGAGAGAGAGAAGGCCAGCAGATACGGACGTCAGTGATTTATCCCAGTCTGCCGGAACATTCTGTGGCTTGACCTTCAGCAGGTGGAGTGAGTCCTCACAGTTTGCTGACTCCACTTGAGAAAACCCTGGCCTTGTCACTTCCTTTTCTTTCCCAGGAGATTAAAACAGTGTGTGCCTTGTTAGACACTAACTGGCATCCAGAAAGAGAGAATACTCTACTTCAAATCGAAAAGGATGGGTTGGTTGGTCCCAAAGGACAGAGAAATGAGTGTTGGCAGGATTTGTCCAGGGACTGGGGCAGAAGGCACCTAACTGGAACATGCAGCCCTTGGGTTCCTGAAAGAAGGATGGGACACGAGTAATAGCCAGCCTGGGTCAATCCACCCTGGGCTGGCTCAGGCCATAGGATTCTAGCTGGACTCTCTATGTGAACCCCCACCCAGAAGGTGTTTGTGTGGAAGGATCTGGGGCTTATTCCCTTAGCAACCAACACTCTCACCATCCTTGGAGATTGGGTACAATCCCCTACGCTGGTCTGCTGTGGTCTTCCCTGAGAGGTAGTTTGATTCTCTTTTACAGTTTGCACAGTGCATATTCTAGACGCCACCTGTCAGCCTTGGCTCTCTCCCTCCCAGCTCACTCATTGCATCTTCGTCTTCCGGTGCCTGAGGTGGGAGGAGGGGTCCGTGAGGGCTGGGGGTGTGTGTGTGGCTGACATCTGGGTCTCCACCTTTGTAGAGGAGGCCAGTGCAGAGGTCCGGCAGGGTGGCCTCCTGTAAATCAAAAACAGATCCAAAAATGCTCTTGGATTTCACAGCCTCCGAGCAAAATGCTGTCCAGCATCCTGGGAAAGAGCAACCTCCAGTTTGCAGGGATGAGCATCTCTCTGACCATCTCCACCGCCAGCCTGAACCTGCGGACGCCTGACTCCAAACAGGTGTGTGGTCGCTCAGGCCTCCCGCCCTCCAAGAGTCCATTGATGGGTTTTCCCAGGGCTGCCTCACCAGACCCCCAGTTAGAACATGTTTGGGTCAAATCTGGATTAGTCTATGAACTTTGGCCACCAAGAGAATGATGGGTGGGATTGGTTCTCTTTAATTTGGCTATTAGTAACTATTTTTTGTTGTTTTTCGAAGGACAACGGAAGAAATTGTTTTTCTTTGCAATGTGATAAAAAAGGTGATGTATGTGCAAAAGTCTTCTCTTGATGTCTTATCCCTTGTATAACCATGTTTTATTGGTTTTTATGGATGACATTTTTATTTTATCAACTTTGAAGTGTCTGGCCTGTCATGGTCTGATTGACAGGAGTGTTTCTTCCTTAGTGGTTTATTATCTTGGAGCATCTTAGTTCCTGGTGTCGCAGGGCTGATAAGATGTGGCATATCCATGGCACAAACAGGATGGGTGGATTCAGAGCTGACCAACGCAGCACAGCCGTGGTCAGTATGGCTAATTCCATTTAGGATGATTGTGTTTCTGGGCAGCGTGTGTCTTATGATTCTCTATCGTAAGTTTCTTCAGTTGGAAAAAATGGGTATATGAATGATGGTCCTGGCTCCCAACAGGAGATTCTGAAGGTCAAATAAAGCAGAGGGGAAAACCTTTGCCTGGTGAAAAAGTGGTTGTGGAGTGGACATTTTTATTGTATCAACTTTGAAGGGGCTGGCCTGTGGAGGTTGAATCAATAGTCATCTTTCTGTCCTCCCCTGCTCTGCCCAGCCTACAGCGCTCGCAATGTGAGCTGGACATTGGATGTGACCTCTGCCCGACACACTCCATGACTCTGACCATGTTACCAAGGATGCCCGTGGTTGACTTCATGTTCCTACACATATTTCTGTTTATTGGTCTCCATAATCTCAGGTGGATGAGCAGTATCCTCAGCTTCATTTATGCTCCAACTCCTACCCAAGAGGTAGAAATAAATTCTAGATTCTGCATAGAACTGAGAAGCCATGTCTAGGCTTTGTTTGGGCATAAGTGGATACCACTCTCGCTCCATTCTTCTGTGTTCCTGGGACCCACAGATGATCCCTCGTCTTTGCATACTTACTAACTGTGCCCAGGACTGGGTGATTAGCCCTTGAGGCTGTGGGGAGGCTTGTTGGGGAGGCTCGGCCTTTGCCTGTGCTGTGTCAGGTGGAGTCCCTGCTATTTGTGGTGGCGGGTCCACTCAGCCCTGCATCCCATCTCCGCTCATTCCCATTCTCCTTCTCTATTGCTGGGGACTTCGGATTCCAGGACTCTTCAGCCTGTAACCCTCAATTCTATGGGCTCTTCTCCCTCCTTCCCCACCTCCATAAAAGAGAAGAGGCCCCCAGGACACTGCTGCTGCATTTGGCCCTGCTCCACCTGAGACCTGGGCTGGTTGGATGTGTCCAGTTCCTATCTTCTTGCCTCTGGGTTAGGTGGGTGGACTCCCGATCCCCAGGTGCTGCCCACTCGGATGACAAAGGTACAGTCTGTGGCAGATGGAGCAGAGGTAAAGATCAGATGGCTCTGGACTCCCTTCCTGTTGATTGTAATCGTCAACTGCAGCAAATTGAGCCCAGTACGGTGAGATCCTTCCTGCTCTGTCAGAGAGAGCAGACGGGCAGCACCTCCTCCACTCTACCGAGTTCCAAGTAGAAGAATGAGATAAAGCCTTTGGAGCAGAAGCACAGACTCTATCTATTAGAATCAATTAGCTCTAATTTTCTTCCTCCCCTTTTCAATTTTTCTGTTACTCAAGGGAATTAGATTCAGTCACACAATAATGATCATGCATCATGTTGATTAAATATGACTTTCATTTTTCCCCTGCTAAATCTTACCTTCCAATTTAATTTCTAAGCCCCAGTTTTGGAGCTGTCTTAGAAGCAAAAAATTAAATACACAAAAGCTAATTATGCAAAATTCAAAACGTTATCATTATTTGGGGGGGGGGGTCCTATTTCCTCACCATTCCCTCTTCCATGATCTGAGGACAGGATTCTAGGGTGACTATTATTAGCTTAGGCCACCCGGGGCTTGGGCACACTGCTTTATGGTCCCTTAGATGCTCAGGATTTCCTACATCCTGAAGTTTTGCAATTGCCAACAACCAAAGTAGGCATTTAAAAGTAAATATGTGATATAATTTGATTATATTTGGGTTTTACAGGAGCCTGTTTGGAAACATCCCTCGGATGGCACAAATGTAGCTATGTAAATTCTAACTGCCTGCTTGAGGACAAGGGCCTGAGGGGATTGTGCAGAAATAAACCTGGCTGTGTAGGGATGGAGACAAGAGCTCTTTTCCCCACCCCCGGAAATGTACCTCAATGTCATTACATTGTCTTTGGAAAGATAAAAATAGCATGGAAGACTTATGGAGCTTTTTAAATTTAGGGCAGCTTCTAATTTACTTAGTGTCTGCTAAATTCCACTGTATGCTGCGGTTTATAAAAGCTAATGGAAATTTCCCATTTTAAAATTAACTTGGAATGTCCTCTCTGGTTTTTATGTTGATAAATTACGAGAGTGCTTTAGATGGCACCGACTCTTAATCTTTGTTTCTGGCTTTCTTATTTGTATGTGCAGAGTACAAATGGGACAAAGAGAGAGGGAAGGGCCCCTCCTCCTCCATCCTAGCTAGGAGGTCTGTGATGGGGGTCCTGGTGTGGCTTTGGAAACCACCACCATAAATGGCAATATTTTGAGGTGCAGGTGAGACTTTTTCCTTAAGATCCTGGCCAGTGGGTAGAGGTCTTTGATTAACAGCTGAGATCCTTTGAAGAAGTCATTTGGTCCTTGGGGCCTCAGCCACCTCACCTGTCAGATGGAATTCTGATGTTCGCTCTCCATAGCTCCTGGGAGGACTTAAAGAAAGTTGCTGAGGCCAGCCAGTTAGACAGCAGCCATCAGGCTGTGAATGCTCATGAAAGGTGGTCTACGGCCGTGACTTTCACAGTTGCTATTTTCATACGGTTATGAGTTTTCAGGAGAACTCGTCAATTTGGATCATCGGCTAACAAAGGGTTGATTTTGCAAGACGTGGAAAGGGTAATAACGGCACATGTGGTTTCTTGTTTTGGGCCTGACAGATCATAGCGAATCATCACATGCAGTCCATCTCCTTCGCCTCCGGGGGAGATCCGGTAAGTGCCCTTGGCCTTGTTTCTCTTGTACTTTTTGGGAATTTCCAAGAAGGGACCTTTACTTAAAGTGTGCCCCCTCTGAACAATATACAAAAATTAACTGTGATGTCAACTACTCCCTCTCAAATATTGGAAACTCTTCTTGACTATCATTTCTTGGGGGTAGGTAGCCTATGTCAAGGACCTGCTGTTAATTTTTATTTCATAGCCAAAAGCCGTCAGAAATTCTGGAAGCTTTTACCTTTTTTTTAAAAAAATATATTTTTTAGCTATACCTGGGCACAATATCTATATTTTGTTTATTTCTTCTTAAGTGGTGCTGCGGATCGAACCCAGTGCCTCACACATGCAAGGCAAGCGCTCTGTCACTGAGCCACAACCCCAGCCCAAACGTTGGCCTTTTTAAGAGGTGACAGATTGCACCCCGCACCACAGTTTTCAGAGTTGCTGGGGTCTTGATCACTCTGCTTCCCCCGCCCCCCAAGTAGCCCTGGTGATTGGCACACACTACTCCTTATTTTAATGCTAGGGATCCTGTCTGCAGCTAGCCGCAGGAGGGGAATTTTCCTGATGACCTTCCAATTTCTTCTACTTGGATAACCTTGTCATAGAACTGCTGCTGGCATAGTGGAGTCAGGTCAATCAAGAGAGCCATTTCAGCGGCAGATTCCAGATGTTTCTGAAGGACAGTCTAATAGGGGCCCAGATCTCAGTAACGAGAGAGCAGTATTTCTCTGTGTCCAGTGGTGGTGGGCGTCAGGGGCAGGCACGGCTGGGGTTGTGGGCTCCTGCCAAGGACCAGTGCCACTGGTCATGTGCCCTGTTACTGTCCAGCACCCCCACCTCAGACCCCACGCCCAGGGCACTTGGTGGCAGAAGGGATTGCTCATCCTGCACATGAATCTTTGCCCTTACATCTTTGCTTAATTGACCAAAGATGACCAGAGCACAGTTTAGCAGTGATATCCCATGGGTTCAAATGGTTTGGACTCTTGTTAAAACTTAAAAGTCTTTTTTAAAAAAGTCTACCACAGTGGCTTCCTTTTCTTTTCTCCTCTGCTCTTGCTGTACCTTTGTTTTCTTTCTAATCCTGACAATTTCTCACAATTCATTGTAACAGGAAAGCCTCAGTGACACACCCATGCTACATTTCCTGGGATCATGCCCATGGACGTTCATATACCTGCCTGTACTGCACTCACATACACGTCTAGACCAAGATCCTTCCTTTGTCTCTCTCTACTCTAAGTAATTTGCCGTGGTTGTCTAAGTGCTTAACCAGTGTGATGCTCTGAGCCATAATTTCCCTTCCTTCTTTCCTTCCTTGTGCAGGGGATGGAAACAGTTTCCTCAATGTCAAAGGTAACCCAGTTTGAAAAAATCAAAAGACAGATATTATTGAACTGAATCAATAGCTCCTTTCAGGAACTTTTCTTAATTCTTGTCCTAATGATGATATTTTGAGTGGAGATACAAATGTCTAGGTCCTGGAAAGCCAAACACATGGGCTTATATAGAATTATTTTATTCTCCAGGATATAAACAGGATGTGGGCCTGTTCTTTTTCTTCAGATTTACTCATCATCTTTTCATTTTAATGAATGGAACTATTTATTGACCCTTAAAGTAATCCATAACCTTTTATGTTTGTTGTGATTTTTTTTTCTAATACAGAAAATGGCGTGATCCCAGAGGACAGGAAGCCTAGTTACTTTCCATTTTATCCAATCCAAATAGCTAGTGCATGAGATCTCATTCCAAATTGAATCATAACCACAATTTTACCACATTACTACTATTGGTAAATGTTTTAAGTAAAACCAAGGATTCTAGGCCCTCTTCCTGATACTCCTGCTAAATCTATGTGTTGTTTAATGCTTTGTGTCTTAGTCTATGCAGTCAGAAAATGGTAGATGGAAACATCAAATGAGACAGACTAGAAAATATTATTAATCCCTTTCCCCAAAGAGGCAACACAATAATTACAGTCTACTATGATTAGCCATGTTAAAATACCACCAAAAGAATTTTAGAGCAATGGTTAGGCTCCGAGGTTCTCGGGGAGGGAATAAGTAGAGAAGCAGCAACCCCTTTGTTGGAACTTTTCAAGAACAATTAATTGTTTTGAATCCTATTACACTCTACTACTATTCCAGAAAGAGATGAATACCAGAATCAGAACAACCATGTCCAGCTTAGCCATTGACCATCTGAGACACACAGACCAGGTCTTCTTACTGTCATTCCTCCCCCAACTTTGAGCTAGAGTAGAGTTTCTTAGATTAGGGTAAGATTTTTTTTTTTTAAAGTATTTCCTTGAATATATCATTAGTGCTGACTCAAATTAATTATGTGACCCGAATCTGTACAGAATCCAAGAAGAGATGGCTTATGTTTATACTTTTTATTGAACTCTAAACTCCAATCAAATTTGGAAATTAAATACAAACAAACACTGTCAAGCCAATGGCATTCAAAGTAACGTGGCTTTATTGTGATGGACAAAGTTCACTGTAACTCAGTCTCTGCTCCTGATGGCTGCAAGACTGGCTGTCATGGTGCAGAAGGTTTTGAATCTAGCCTCCTGAGTCACTCGGATGACAGGTGTGAGCTTCAGCATACTTTTTAAGTCTTATTTTCTCTATTCATTGGTTTTATGAGAAGGAAGGTGAAGAAAGTCTTATTTCACTTGGAAAGATGAAACTTCTAAATAGAACTTATATTTTTAAAATATCTTAAGGGAATAAAATTATTATTTATGTCCAAGAAGAAAAGAACTCTCTTATCTCAATCACCCAAGAGGGGATGTTTGTGATCAAGCTTTGAACATCCATCCACTTGGGTTTTCTTCCAGACCAGTACTTCTCAAAGCATGGTCCCCAGCCCAGAGGCAGCTGTAACTTGTTAGGAATTCAGTTTGGGGATCTTACCCCCGACCCACCAGAGGGGAAATTCCAGGGTGTGGCCCAGAAATCTGTTCTAACAAGACTTACAGGGGAGTCTGACACTAATTCAAATTTGAGGGCCCCAGGTATGGACATTGCTGAGAGTAGTGGTTCTCAACTTAGGTTCACATTAATATTTTTCTAGGGACTTAAAAAAATTCCTGATGCTCAAGGCTCACATCCAAACCAGTTAAATCAAATTATCTGGGCAATAGGATTCAGTTTTGGAAGCTGAAGATGCAACATGCAGAGAAGCGGTGCCTTCTATCCCGGCTGCTCTAGTGTGAACATGGGCCAGCAGCATCAGTACCAGGAGGGTGGCTGGAAATGCAGCCCCCCAGGCCCTGCCTGGACATACTGAGCCAGAATGTGCATCACAAGAAGCTACCTTGGTTGGGCTGTTGTGTAGGCAGTGTTTGATTCTTTGTATGGTGGGAAGTCCTTATCAGCTTGTGTTGATGTACTGTATCCCTGTAGTGTTCTCTCCTCGTGATGAGTGATACAGACATCTTGTTTTTTTCTTTAACAGGACACAACAGACTACGTCGCCTATGTAGCTAAGGACCCTGTTAATCGCAGAGGTAAGCCATGCTTGACCCACAACATTGCTCATTTGTATACAGCCAGGCTTAACACTCGTACCAGATGTTCCTCATTAGCTCAGTTCCCTTTGCCAAAACGAACATGTGTCATATCATATTATGAAGGATAATTGAGATTTGCAAGGGTAGCAGCATCACCTGGCTGAATTAAGAGATGCTGGACGTTGCTAAGCTTAAAACACAAATCTGTATCCTGATGGCTACGGTTCGCTACAGCTGACTTAATACATTAGCAGATCCCACCTGTGCTCCGATAGTGTCCTTGGTTACACTTTGAAGACTCTATCCTCCTGCCCAGGGTCAGCTCTCTGTGTATGCCCACTGTTGATTCAGCCACCTGAGCTACCTCTAACTGTCCTACCCAGCTCACAGCCCAGTGTCCAAGCTCAGGGTGCCTTTCCTTACCCCACCTTAAGCTTCTAGGCTTACACAGGCTAGATGGGGGTGGGTGTTCCTTTACAATACCAAGACCCATTGGATGATAAGACACTTGGGGTGGTGGGGCTGACCTATGCCTTGGTACTCTTGACGGCTAGGCAGCTCCTTATGTGTTATACCACAGCTGCAATCAAAAACTCATCGATGGCCACTCCCACCACTGGTATTTATAACAATACAAACCACTTCCTTCCACTACCAGCTGGCCCCCCCACATCCTCCCAGACCCTACCCCATGTACCAACTGCTGATTTTCCTGCTGGCTTGGCATCCTATTTAAATCCATAACCGCACACGTGTATTCTCTCCCATTTAAAAATTTCGATATGAATGAGATCTTAGCATTCTGTTTTTTCCCCCTCCCTGCAACCCTCTATCTCAGAAATATTTTCAAGACAACCCATATGGGTAGATTGATCCACAGTGTGGAGACCTGCTCCCTAGGGATTCCTGCAAGCTCCTTCTTTCTTAGGCATGATGTTGTATGACTCATGACTCCTCCTAAAGAGGCATTTGCAGAGCAAGGGGTTAAATAGTTAATATGTCAATGGCTCTTGCAAACGGAACCTAACCTGGCTGTAAAAATTCTCATTTCTGTGTAAGTGTGTGTGAGGATTATTTTCCACCTGGTCTTTTTCAACCCTGGGTTAATAAGCAGTGAATCGATGGGGGTTGTCTTTCCTTTGAATGGTTTCTTTAGATTGAAGATAACAAGACTTTACAACCAGTTTTTAGCTATTGTTCTCTCCCAGGCCTGACCATCCATCACCAAAAACTATCATTTTGGTTGGGTGGCAGATAGGAGGACTTCTACAGATGAGGTCATATAGGTTCTAATCCAGACATCTTCCTATTTTCTAATTGTCACTTCTGAGCAGAGATGAGGTAATTATGAAACGTTGAGGATAGAAGAAGAGGGACCTGGGTGGTCTTGATGACCTCAGAATGGTCCCCATGAGGGCTTCCCTGCCAACATGATGTTCTGGTCCACCATTTCTCAGGGGAAGCAGCTGCTCAGTGATGACTGCAGATGACTAGTATTTGTCACAGGTGAGCAGGGGCACACTATCATAGTCAGGACTGTCATCCAGACCAGTGAACACCAACCCACACCAACCACACGTAGCTCAGATTCATGGAGAGTAGGACCATGCCTGTTGTTAAGGTTGGATATGAGATGTCCCCCCAGTTCTCCTGTGCTAGTGGAGGAGGTAAATGATTAGATCATAAGAGTCACAGGTAATGGGTGCATTCATTCAGTTGATGGAGTAGTAGTCTGAATGGACTCCTGGGTGGTGATTGCAGGCAGGTGGGGGGCGTGGCTGGTGGAAGTAGTTCCCTGGGAGCAGGCCCTTGGGAATTCTGTCCTGTCCCTCTGGATCCTCTTTGTTTCTCTCTCTGCTTTCTGGCGGCCACGAGGCAAGCAGCTTTCCTTCACGGCTCTCTCTGCCACCATGTTCTGCCTCACCTAAGGCCAGAGCAATGGATTTGGCCAACAATGGACCGAACCTCTGAAACCGTGAGCCCAAGTAAACTTCCTTCTCTAAGTGATTCTTGTCAGCTCTCCCGGTCACGGTGACAAAAAGATGACCAGCACACCTACCCTTTGAGGAGAATCCTATCAAGGAATTTGCAGCCATCATTATCTGTCATGCCTCTGTTTTGTACCCACGGGAGGCAGTGTGGGTGGAGAGGGGAGTCTGGCTGCATCTCTGTGCAACCTTGCCATGAACTTGACTGCAGAGCCTCTGCCTCCATCCCACCTGTGTCACCCAGCATTTCCTCCTCCCAGGGAGCCAGGGAAGGGCCTTTTCCCAGCTTCTTCTATCTTTCCTCCCCTAGGCCAAGGTTTAATTTAGTACGAATGCCTCTACCATTGACAATCAGATTAGTAAGAGTTCTGGATGTGAGGTTCTGACTTAGGCTCTCAAGTATCTAAGTCCTCCTTCAGACACCTGTAGGTCCGTGTGCTCCAGCAAGCCTTGAAGCACTGTAGTTCCTTGGGCCCCAAGCCTGCCAGAGTTGTGACACCTCGGGGTCTCTGCAAGTCTTCTGTTGAAACCCTACAGTAATAGGTTATTGTCCCTTGCTGCTGTTACTGTTTGTTTCCATGATCATTCCTGCTTATGAATTTTTGCATATCATTTTGGCTTCTCTAGAAGTATTTTAAACTTTTCAATTAGGGCATGATGATTATAAGTAATTATAAGATTTGTTGTGACATATTTGTACATGTACATAATGAAATTTGATGAATTTCATTCCCCAATATCTTCCCTGGCCCTCCTCCTCTCTAACTCGGATTCCTTCCTCTATCCTAATGATCTTTTTTTTTTTTTTTTCTATTTTCATGAGACCCTGCTTTTCCTTTACTCTATCTCTCACTTCTGCATATGAGAGAAAACATGACCCTCAACTTTTTGAGTCTGGCTTATTTTACTTAACATGATTCTCTTCAGTTCCATCCACTTTTCTGAAAGTGACATAATTTTGTTCTTCTTTATGGCTGAATAAAACTCCATTGTGTATATATACCATGTTGTCTGTTTCCATCCATTTGTTGACAGACACCTAGGCTGGTTATATAACTTGACGATTGTGTGTGTGTGTGTTTTTTTTTTTTTTTAGGCTGCTATGACTTGAATTCTTTTAGATACATGTATAGGAATGGTGTTATGGCTTAGATGTGAGGTGTCCCCCAAAACTCGTATGAGACAATGCAAGAATTTTCAGAGGTGAAATGATTAAATTAAGAGGCATAGCCTACTCAGTGGATTAACTGGTTGATAACTGTAGTCAGGAAGGATGTGGCTAGAGGAATGAATCACTAGGGTTCATATTTTGTCCCTGGTGAGCAGAGTTCTCTCTGCTTCCTGGTTGCCAGAGTTGCTTCCCTCTGCCATACCCTTCTGCCACATATTCTGCCTTCCCTTGAGCCCAGAGCTATAGAGTTGGCTAATCATGGACTGAACTTAAATTTTCTTAAAAGAAAATAAACTTGGGCTGGGGATGTGGCTCAAGTGGTAGCGCGCTCGCCTGGCATGCGTGGGGTGCTGGGTTCGATCCTCAGCACCACATAAAAAAATAAAATAAAGATATTGTGTCCACTGAAAACTAAATATAAGTATTAAAACTCTCTCTCTTAAAAAAAATAAGAAAATAAACTTTTCTTCCTGTTGTTCTTGTAAGGTATTTTGATCACAGCAATGAATAAGCTGACTGAAACAGAAATTGATATGGATAAGTGGGGTTGTCACTATGACTAACCTGACCATGTTGTTCAGAAGCCTTTGGAGCTGATTTGCAGGGGGGAGGATTTTGAAAAATATACAGATACAAGCCAGAAAAGCTTTATAATGATGTAAGCAGAGATTAAGGAGTGATTCTGAAAGGAGCTCAAAAGCCAGTAGGACTATGGACAGTAAAGATGGGGCTCATGAGGTTTCAGAGAAGGAAGACGGTATTGGAAATTGGACTAGAAGCCATTCTCATTACATTCTGACAAAGAAATTGTCTACGGTTTCCTATGTCCCAAAACTTTCTGTGAAGCTGAATTTAAAGGTGGTAGATGAATTAACCTGGTGGAGGAAATTTCAAGGCAGCACAGCATTCAGGGGATTATAGCAAAGTTTATTGTGATAATCAAGAGCATAAAGCAAATAATAAAGATTTGAAAAACTTGCAGTTTGACCAGAAAATTGTGAGTAAAAATAGAGCTTAGGAAGCTGTGGTGGTTAAAGAGATTATAACCATTCAAGAGATGCTGAACTATTTTACTCAGAGATAATAGAAAAGATGGCTTATGGGCATCCCAGAAATTTGCAAGACCATACCTATGTCAGACTTGAAGGTGAAAATAGAAGAGGTGGGGGAAGCACTGTGCTTGTACAGAGAGTGTCTAGGAAGTTGTCTCTCTGAGCTCAGACACCCAGGCACATAAGGGCTACTGCAGCCATGGTCCCAGGAGGCGTGGCTACTGCTCAAGATGGCAGAAGACCTTGACATCAACCACCTGGTGCTGGTTCTGCAGGAATGCAGGATGCTGGAACTAGGTGGTCATGGAGACTTTACTGAGATTTCAGAGGAATGCCTGAGAGGCCAAGCAAAGAGTAGCAGGGCTGGAATCCCAGCAGGCAGCCCCCTGAGAGGGCAACTCATGAGAAGGAAGTAGAAGTTGCAGTGGAGACCTCCAAGATTAAGAGATGACAGTCACGTGGAATGAATGCTGAGGAAAGCTGCAGGAATCAAGCAAAGAGAAGCCAAGAAAGAGGCCACATGGGTTGCAACCAACAAGACTATAGGGTAGGTCTACACCAACCCTAAGGTGATAACATTATCATGCCATGTACCGTAGATACTGGAGCTGTAGGAATTGTTTGTTCAGTTGAATTTCGATCTTTTTGGTCCTGTCCCTTCTTTTTGTGCCCATATTTCTCTATTTGGGAACAGAACTAGATACTCTGTGTCCTTATGTGTTGGATATATGTAACTTTCTTTTGATTTTTTACAGGAGCTTACTTTGAGAGTTTGCCTTGAGTCTT